AACGACTCAAGAAGTCAGAATTTCAGAGGGAGTTGGGTTTTTGCTGTCGAACTCCCGAATCGTTTAAGCTAAGCTACTGCGGCTTGTGGATTTATTAGCACACTGCATCCAGTCCACATCACCGATGAGTATGATGGATGGTCATTCGAAGGAACTATGGGAAACCAAGAGGAACATGATGATGTCAGATCGGGTGTAGAGCTGATTCGGGCTCAGAGCATGGGAGAGACAAACTCCACATATTCAAACCTTAACGACTTTATCGAAATGTCTCAGTACACTCACCTTGTAACACCAAAAGCGCTCTAACGAACAGTGCTCACTTTGTTCAGATTCCTTTTCAATGGCACCGGATAGGGCATCGAGATTGTCAGTCACGGGGTGGTTGGAGTGTGGAACATCTTCGAATAAAAGAGGGAACCCTGAGTAGAGGTAACCACCAGAGCACCGTGGATTGAGGGAGCGTGCCCTCAGCTATCCTCTGGGTAATCCTCCTTATAGCCCTGCTCGTGGAAGATTCTAATCTGAAGTCATGAAGAAAGAGGCTCAGAAGTAGGTCTCAAAGAAATTGGAAGTCTAGCTAAAGAAAGTAACATGCAAACGAGGTGGCTAGCCTGTCGGATAGGCGAGCTTGTGTGCTAAGTTGCAGGACATCTTGAAAGCTGGTGCCGATACCTTACCAAAAAATTACGCCAATACATGTGTACAATTTCTCAAAAATTATAGACTCGACCTAATGAATGTAGACTATTTAGCACCCTTGATTGGAGTGTGAGTGAAACTGTGGCGGAACACGATGCCAAAACCCTCCAGTCGTGGAGGACGGATGCGACCTCATTATGTTCGTGCGATCGCGTTCAACTGGAGCCAGATAGGCGCGGCAGTAATACACGAGGGGGGGTCGATGGAACAGTAAAGATGGAGTTTGTTTTCACGGACACTTAACGAGACTTTGCTGTGGGCCATTAGTGTGTTGTTGAGTGACAGCAGGTTCCATTGGAGTTGAAAATGACTCCACACGAGGCAAAATCACCTACGAACTGTAGGGAGATGTAATACGAGTGCACTTGAGAGACTTGGTATGTTGAGAACGATTGCCGTACGTGCATGGAGAGAGGAAGGTGGTGGATCACATCAACCGCAATAGCACGTAATCGCTACGTTTTGTAACGGGCGAGAATACCCACGTCAGTCGCCGGCGGCAGTTGCGAAAACATCAATCAGGATTGCAAGACACGTAAACCTAGCCTGAACAGTGACGCATAGAGATGGTTGGGGGTGTGTGGGATATCTCTGCCCGGCGACATACGGGGATGCTCTTGGTTGAAACCCGAGTATTGGGAACGTACTCTAGTTACCATGTCATTGAGAGTGGATCATCAGTTAGAAGGATCGCATGGTCTTCTCGGCTGGGAGTAAATTAGGCATGGGAGCAGTGTCGGATCGCCAGCACATGGTCGAGAAGCAAGGAACCACGTAACTCCTAGACCACACTCCGAACCATTGTTTTCTTGATAGGCCATGGAATAAAGCGGATATTTAATAAGACCGGTGCATGTTCCGGCTCCATACTTGGTGATCGTCGCGTATACTTCCAGCGTTATTGTGATGCAGTTATATGAATTCTTCTAAAGTGAGACTCTTTAGCGGGTGCGTTCTACCCGAATCGTAAATAGTACATTGCGTAGTGAGGAAATATGTGCCGAGCCATCGCAAAGAGCTTAGGTGGAGAACTTCAGATAGAGGATATTCGCGATTGGTTTAAGCGCCCCCCCCCCTTCAAAATTCCATCGAGCAACTGGTGTGAGATACAGGTGTGAGAGAATACGCACCATATCCATGCGCAACAGCTGTCCAGCAATGGTCAGTTGCAGGAATAGAGCGCTCCTCTCACAAGAACTATTCACCAATCCTATGGCTAGTACGAAAATACATAGTAGAGCACGTCCTGCAGACCGTAGTTCAAAACCTTATTGATGTCTAGTTCTCTCTTCTAAAAGATTCACCATGAAGTTGGGTTAGCCACCCAAACCGCTTTCAATTACTGTTTTTGAAGACAAGCCTTATTTCTGTTCTTCGCATGTGTTTTTGTTATTAACCCTGTGATGAACTGTAGCAGCCCCTTCTATGTATTTATGCTACTCAAATTTCATCGAGTTTCTTAGCAATAAATAAAATGCGAAATTTTTTCGTGTTTGTTTTTATGTGCCAATACGCAGGTTGATACGGAGACTTTTGTTGGATCGCCTAACGTTCTCGACAATATTGTTCGGCCTCAGAGCCTAAGATGTGCATCAAAGTGTTAGGTTTACATTCTTACCCCACCAGGCGCCACCGCTCGAGATGCGGGCACGGTTGCCGACCATTCGGGCAGAAGCTCCACAAAGAAACGCAACCAAGTGTGATAGTCAACCCACCAGGAGGCTCCACCGTTTGCGCGCGTATCCTGCGACCATACCCTGGCGTTCGTCAGTAAGAAATAATGCATTAACGTGCTGTCTTCCCGATAAATAGCAAGAGGGCTTATACTCGATATCGGAAAGTTGGGGTAGGCGTGTCACCGGAAGTGACGTGCACTTGATAGAAGCTATGTGGATAAGCTGCTTCCAACATACATCGCTGGATATCAGCAAAGCATGCTGGCAACAGCTTATCCACGCAACTTCTATCAAGTGCACGTCACTTCCGGTGACACGCCCACCCCAACTTTCGAATATCGACTGCATATCGGGAGACAGCACAGTATGGCGGCGTGAGGCGCACGTAGGCTTTATTCTACAGCTCGCAGTGCGGTATAAACGGTGAAAGATCACTTGTCGTCGAAGGTTTCATGCGCCAACACTGTACATTTATTCTGATTCATGTGATTTATTCTTTTGTTATGGAAATACGAAAATGGTTTTCGTCTTGAGTTCTTGCACAACAGCGCAAAGACTGGTCCCGTGGCGTACACGGTATCCAGCTTCGGCCTTCTCTGTCCTACTTGGCCGTATGCGGGGTGGCCTAGTCAAAGAAAATCTGGGAGTCCGAGTGATATTGAAGTATACTACTTCGTGCCAAATCATCGAAAATACTAAGCTCTGTAATTTTCTAGTCGAATTAGTGAATAGGAGAGTGGAAAACCGCGTCAACCCTACCGTTGAGACTTTTTGAAATTTTTTTACGACCCCCTCGCCTTCCTCCACGAGAGATTTCATGCGACCCTTACTTCACAATTCTCTTTTTTCCCTCGATAGGAACATCGGTCGAGCGGGGGTGAGGGGGATACGACAGTCGATATCCGATCAGACCAGGGAGGGAGACGGGGACGGGGGGCGCACGCTCCACGCGGGGCTCTGCATCTCCTTACTGCTAATGTTCGTGCAGCCGAGACAGTACCGCACCCCCACCACTAACTGAACACCGACTGTGGGACCCCCCCCGCCTCCTGTTGGTACTGGTCCACGTTAGGGTGGAAAACGCATCCTCTTGTTCTCGTATCTGACGAAGTTATCTCGATATGTTCAGGGCGTGAAAATTTTTTGATTGTTGTCGAGCACGCTTTGACAGTAAGAAGGAAATTGTCGAGGGCTGAACAGTGGACGTCAAGAGTCAGAGTAAGGGACCGAAATAAGTGAAAATTCGCTTCTCAATGGGCTCCATCAGCGGCGAGCAGCCAGGGATGAATAGAATGATGCTCTCGTCGCCTGTGGTCAAGGATGTGAGAAAAAATAACGTAGGCGGAAGAAATGGGGAGTAGGCAAATTGATTATAGTGCATGCGCGGCTTAAGATGTGGGAACGGTGTGCTGCGAACCCACGGATCCTTTCGACTGGATAAGAAGCTGAAAAGAATAGAGAAAAACAGAAACAGTCACACCTCCCTGACCACTGTTCATGGAGATTAGGTAGTGGTAGGCTAACGAATTTGCCGAAGTCGTTAGTGGGGTGAACGGTGGCGATTGGCGACCGGAAACGTCATTGGGAGAGGGGCGGACTGTGGAGCACCAGTTTCAAGAAGCTGACGAGACAAAAAGCAAGGAGCCAAAGGAGCAGATTGGCGATGACGGAAGGAGCGTGCTGACAGCACTAAGGCCAACAGCGGTGTAGGTGTCATTTAGCTCCTGGTCCCCTTTGATTTGTCTGCAGTGGCTGAGTATTATGGAAAATGAATGATTTGTAGGACCTGAAGTGTCAAAACCCCCTACAATACAGCTCCCTTCCAAAAATTCCACGCCCGACAGCTTCTTGGACTCACTTTCTCAAGACTCGAAAATTTGCTTCTAGTATTGGATGAACAGATGCAGGTGTCGCATGAAGTATAAACTCCCAAAAAATCCACAATCAACTTTATTATTACGAAGCACCATCCCATCGTTGTTTACCGCGCCACGTTCTATGGTCACCACCATAGAATAATTATATCAAGCTGCCAAGGAGCTAATTTGCACGTGATCCTGTGAGACACTTTCTGAAGCACATCGAAAATTTCTCACTATACGTAACCCCAGGTATTCCGAACCAGTTTCAGGCTATCGCTAAAATTTTCGCTGAAAAAAGTCACGTAATTGCACTCGAGAATACTGTAACCGTAGGGATGAAAATAAAGAGCACGACATTACCAGAAAGCCTTCAAAAAAAGCCAACCATTCCACAATCCCATACTCAAGAAGCAGATAGTACATTTTGTTTGGAAATTAGTACTTATAATAAATTCCTGTACAAGGAAATTAAACATGAAACAACAGTGAAAATACAAATTTATAATCCACCACCAGAGTAATTTTTATACATGGCTCATAAAAACTAGTTATAATAAAAAATCACCATTAGAAAAAAGAATAACACATAAGTCAAATCACACTGAATCGAGTTGCAAATATAAATAAGCCTACCGAGGACCAAAATTCTCGGTGGCTCATCGTCATCGCTAAAAAAAGGCAATAACATCTGGAATCTTTGAGAGGAAGGTGAAGCTCCCATTACGAAGACGTAGCATCAGCGAACACGCGTCGCAGGGATTTAGCGTGTAAGCGTCACAAAGCACCGCCCATAATGAGGAGGCGTGGCAATGAACTGAAGTGAAATCGGAGCCAGGTAATCAAGTAGACAAGTAATTGAAAATGTTCCACAGGCCGAATCACGACGCATGCCACTGTCTGTCTGGGCGCTACCCAGACATTTAGCTGAAATGACCGAAATTAGCAGACAAAAAGGTGTTCAGAAAGGAATGCACACAGAATCCAGGATTACTGTAGGTTGAAGAGAAACGTTATGCCGAACTGAACGCTGAGTAGGTAAAAACACTTTCTCCCCTGCCTCATCCACCACCTGCCATTGGTGGACACGACATACCGCTGGAACGAGGTAAACCTCCTATATTACGCCGGAATCCACCTGAAAGAATTCGAGATCAGAAAGATGAGCTGTTCCAAATGGAAGCAAATGGGCATTCATTTGATTTCATTTTCAGAATTTCGTATTGCAGGGGACTTAGCCACCACAAGCACAGTCCGAGTGAAATCTATTATCGGATATTGCCTACTCCAATCAAACTTTCATCTCACCGAGTTGGTTATTCGTTATGGTCTCGTTCGAGATGATAAAAGATAAACTCGTGTAGCAGTTTCACTCACCGCATTCAAATGCCGCTATGACTATGAATGGGAGAAGATGCCTTGCGCACCCAAAAAGGATGGCCAATGCTGGAACCTTATCTTCCCCCACAGTCACAAGAATGACTTACGGGGCAAACCAACAATCAATTGTTTGTATCTGTTTTCTACCAAGCGTCTAATCCTCGACCCAAAAGTATGAAAGGTTGAGAAAAAGTAGGGGATAGGATCTCCTGGACCATGGTAGAGTCGCCACTTGCATTGCGCGATCTCACGCGTTTACTTCAGGCGGTAAGATACAGAAGTCACAAAGAAACAGAAATTTTACTAGTTTTGATGGACGAGAACGACGATAGAAGATTTTCTCAAGAAATGCAGGACAAGCACTTAATTTACTACGCATCAGCCCACAGTGAGCTGCAGTTTGCAGTATACGTAGAAAACAAGTCTCGTCCTTGCTACAGCTCATCTAGCACCGCTTCCATTTCACTCGAAGTACCATCCATTCGACCTGCAACGCGTCTAGCCTCTTCCAAAATCGTTCAAACGAGTGGATTACATGGAACAGTGAATAGCGGTTTATTTAAGGTTAGGGTGTATCTTGGAAGTGGGATGCCCTTCTATGACTCTACCTTACACGATTCAGCACCACTGTCCAGATCGACTAATCATGGCGTTCTTGAATGGGAGTTCACACTCATAGGAGGGCGCTGAGGAGGAAATATTGTAGCGGCAGATGGCGGAGCTCATCGCATAATGATCTCAGGACAAACCCTGAATGAAGCGCGTGTGCGCGGGCGTGCAGTTGAGGTCTGATTGAAAACTCTTTCCAGGATTGCGTGATCCGGAATCGTATTCAACTCAACACCATTCAACTAAACCTCATATCTCTCCGGGACAGGCAGTTGGTCACCAGGCTTGTCTGAGAGGGTAAAATGAGCGACTTCAACACGGCTGGCGGCCGCAAGTCATTGCATGTAGCTAAATATTGAGAAAAAAGGAAAATGCGTAGCGCCTCCGAAAAAGGATTGATCAATGCCGGAACTTTATGCTTTGATTTATGAAAGCCGGAGCCATTAAGCAACTTAAATGGGCTTATGAATCACTATACGGTAGACGTACCCAAGCTGACTCAGTCAACGTCGTGGTCGCATAAAGAAAACTACTTTATAAAATGTTATATGAATTCCAACGGATTTGCAGAGAAACCCATTGAACTTGTTACCACAGTCCTGCAACGTATTGAATCTGCCAATGGAAAAGCGGAAAAGATTGCAGATCTACGAGGAGCATCAATCGGAAATGCGCATAAGCTATACGGTCTGTTCAAAACGACTCAAGAAAACCGAATGGTAAATAGAATGTTAAATACCACAGCAAAGGTGTCAATACGACCGAAAATGCTGCAGGATAATTGCATTGCAGAATATAAGAAGAAAAAGGGAAAAAAGTGGTTCTAATAGAATCATGTCTATTATATTAGGTGTTCGGGGAAGCACGCCGAACCGCCCGTTATTCCAATTTCAGAAATTTCGAAACCTCTGTTAGAGGAACTAATGTACGCCCTCCCCACCCCTCCATCACCATCATGGCTCTTTCTTTAGAATTTGATTCTGCTACCGTTCACAGCACAACCGCTTCCACTCTGTCCTCACAAATGACCGTCGAGAGGAGAAGGGGAGGGGCGAATATAGCTGAAGGCGACAATGACATAATTTTGTAAAACACCCGTCGAAGACAGGAAAACTCCCCTGCCACCACGTCCCCATCGAAATCCATGAATTCGGCCCCTTCCCCTCTTTCAACCTTATGTCCCTCACTACGATCTTCCTAACAGTACTCAAATATTACTTCCCCCCTTTTAAGAACTGAGCAACGCACGGCAGACCTTGGTTAGAAGTAATCGCATAGAGGTTTCGTTTGTTTTCATACAATTTAGAGAAAAAAAGGCTGCAACTCTAGCAGTTTCATATCAATTTTAATCTTTTCTTCATCCGATGCAATCCCTCTAGTACATATAGCTTGTTTCTGTTTTCAAAAGTATAATCGAATTACATCGCAGCAAGAGGAAATGTCAAAGACAATCATAGAAACCGACGAAACCACATGCGCAGCCCCAAACCTGACCCAGAGAAGAACGCAGCGTGCACATGCTGCAATTAGGCGACTGACTGATAGACTGAAAAGCGCAAATTCGAAGTCCAATGTTCCTAAGGTATCACTGGTTCCTAAATGAAGCGATCACGCCGGCTTTTACGCAGATCTGCCACCCTAGCGTTATCAACCGATAAGGTCTGATGTGAGACAGATACCTTATAGAAGATGTGATACGATAAGATAAGAAGATACGGCTGCTTGGAATGAGGTGCACTCTAGAATGAGAATCGGACGATAACGTTAGCAGTATGATATCTAGTATGCTGCCATTGCAACCCTCCCACATAGTTACGAAGGTGTTTTTGCTGCTCGGAAGTAGATTTCGGCGCCTTATCACACCGTTGACATGACGCCACTGCCACTGAAACACTACCTTTATCTCATTGGGCAGAACTCCTATCCACTCTACTACGTACCATTCCTCATCGGCCGCAATGGTAGTTATCGCGACCACTTCCTTTAACATGTACTCGCCTTCTTATAAGCCGCGCCTCACGTATCCCTCCAACATGGACAGGGGAGGGGCAGAATAAAACATGGCGTCGCGGGAAATTTACACATGCCGAGATGCGCGAACTAAGTACTGTTTTCGATGTATTTATCACTGGGATAGTTTTACAACTACACATTACTCAAACGCTCACATATTCATGCCGATTGACCCTGTTGGATACGCTGTCAACCATGGCAAAGCAAAATAAGTGAGGAATCCATTTTGGAGATCTCTACAGCACGAGTTTCCGTTTAAGAACACTGAAGAAACCTATCGCTTCTATGTTCCGTTCAAAGTTTTATTCAAACCCAAATAGCCCAATTACGACGGCAATGATGTGAAATCACATACCATTAGCTTTATGCATTTCATGTGAGTAATGACTCACGGACAAAGAGAACAAAAACTTACCATTTCTCCCAGGTCCTCCGGGTCCACCGCTACCAGGCCATCTGCCACCTCCACCACCAGCGTTCGATCTTCTTAGATGACTTCTGCTTTCTTTATCATCTGCACCACTACTTAGCCCAAATAAGGACTTGAAGCTGCAAAAGTTAACGTATAAACCGCAAAGACGACAAGAAATCTCTTCACAAAAGCGTTACATTCTGAGGAGTCAAAAATGTGAGACTCGGCCTAATCACTTGGTGAGAAATTTGGCATTATAAAACAGTCAAATGCTACCTACTACATATTATTACTCTATTATAATTATCAGAGTGCACTTAAACACTTTTGGACCATTCACATAAACAAACAAGAATAGTAAACTCACAACAAGATTATGAATGAGAAGAAGGATAGAATGTAGGAAAAGAAGGAACTCCTCCGATTTTCGCACACGTTCCCACCTGGAAAAAAGACTATAAGACAAATGGGCGGAAACACTTACATCTCCTAGATATCTGCTAAATGGGTAATGTTCCCGAACACGCACCATGTTTGTTCTTTCAAGACACAATGGCATGAAAACATGTTCCATAGCCGTAAAAGGTATGCCAAAGAACACTTTAATTACAAGTTCTGCGTAAAGTGGGCTTCCGTAATGTTAATGAAGATACTTTTTCAGAGCGGATTTACTCTTTCTTGCGCGCTTCTTGAGTGACTCAAGTAACAAGGCATAACTCCATTAAATGTGGATGAGATGAGCCACATGCAAAAAGCAGAGGATTGATAATTTTATTACCATTACGATTTCCCCATTTACCAATCTCAAGTCCAAATCCAATTCAGCAAATTATTTCAATGACTTTAATGCTGAAAAAGTTTGCTTTCAGTATAGATTGGGCGATTCACTGGAAAACACATGACGGCAATACGTATAGACATAGGCAACATTTGAGAAAGGACTTCCTCAATATGAGATATCTAATGCGAAAAAACTCACTTGCATCTATGTACACCATGGCTATAGCGGTCAGGAGCGCATCGATCTGCCTAAATAAATGGTAATGTATGACGAAAGGAACTGACAGTCACGCGGCAAAAGCAAGACGACTAAAACCGGTTGTAAAATCGTTCTCCGGAGAAAGCTGCCAGAATATCTACACAATACCTCACACTTTAAAGGCCATTAGGTATACAAGATGAGTTGCTAAATTTATTCATCGAAGGTAGGTGGGACAACAAATCGGATTTTGAATAAGTTGAATAAGTAATATTATGCCTAGCATAAGGAGTCTTAGACCTATTGCCATTATGATCATCCTTCGCTTTTCGTTTTAAAAAAGTGCATTTTTGGAAGTTCACTACTTATTAGAAAGCTTTGATTTCGTAGTTTTCCGAGACCGTTTCCAATTTACTGTATAAGGATTTTGAGAAAAGTTATGATCGCTTGAAGGTTGAAATTTAGCATGCGTGCGAAAAATCTATCAAAAGCAGGATTCTTCAAAGAAACGATTTCTCTGAAGGACCCTACAACAGGACCTGTTAGAAAGCTATTCTCAGAACCCCCACTGGTGCTAACTTAGTTGGGGGGGGGGCACGCGGCGGCGCGGCAGTCTGCTCACCTGGGCTCTCTCGAGCGAGACAGTGTAAACTCGAACATTCCAGCTTTTCACGCATGTCAAGTGACTGCCCCCCACCCCCTAGACTGCCTACACTCCCCCTGGCCCACGGATTTCCGAACATGCCAGGCGAGCAGACTGCCGCGCCGCCGCGTGCCCCCCAACTAAGTTAGCACCCTCCGCATTCTAAAGCGTCGCCTCCTAAGATCACATATTGAAAGAAAGTTACGACAATGTAGATGGCAAAACTTCAGACTTCAAAATATTTTCTGTGGATTTTTGTTAGCTCAACTTACAACAGGAGGAGTATCCAAAATTGAGAGCAGTCTCAGTGATTGTCGCGACAGAAAACGTGTAGAACTCAAATATAGTTAAAAAATTTCAAATGAGAAAATCACGAGGACGCGCCCGTATTATCTGCAGCACGCATGCATCCCTGTCCCCTGCCGTTTGAAAGATAGTTTGCCCTTTTGACCGCATTAACCTAAAGGATTCATTTACTTGCCTTTTTTTTCCAAAACGAATACGTCAGTTGTGATCACTAGAGACGACACAATATTTTACGCAACAAGATTCAGTTCCAAAGACAAGCATTGCGATTGTAAAGCCACCCACACTTGCTGAGCGAGCGATCGTAGGTTGGGCGGAAGATAAAGGGAACGCCACTGAAAAAAGTAGACTGTGCGCGCGGCCACCTTACGAAGGACGATTGGAAGAATAGGTCAAAGGTTGCGAATTTGGAAATAGAGGCAACGATCGGAAGAAGAAATATGGTTGTAGTAGAAAACGGAAATGTTCTCCATCGATGGAAAAGACCGAAAAGGGTCCTAGCGAAGCCACTCCGAGAACTAATGAGATCGTTCCCGTCGCCAGCATTTGTGGCAGATGCAAATTCGACGCGTAACTGTCTCTCCGATTTTTCTAGTTCTTTTTTTCTTCACCAAAACCACGCTTTTTTTGTTCTGTTCGTTCGTGAATGGTGATGATAAGGCTCAAGCCAGTATTATGTAGGTGAGATAGATCTTGATTTTTCCGTGGATGATTCCTTTAAGCCACGAGCCATATTGGCTTTTGGTCGTGAGCGGTTATTCTCAGCACTTTCATTTTTCGCCACGGGAACGACAAGATGCGGTGGGGCAGAGCTTTTCTTCGGCCGCGTGGTCGTACGAAGCCACATAGAATTCATGAACATAGTTGACCTGTGCTTGACGTCACGTCAGCGATCTCAATCCCATGGACACTGCTGTTTTGCCGCTGTCGTGGACTTGAAACCAGGTTGGCCGGTACCCATTGGACCAAAGCAATTACCGACTGGATACCTCGCGACGTCAAACACAAACTCCAGGACGACCGCCGGCCTGATGACCAGACTTTTTCACAGAAGCTCTGATGGAAGGAGTGCTGACTTGCGCGTTCCTCGAGTATCCAATGGAGCACTTTGATGCGCAAGAAGAACGAATGGATAGGTTTATTAGCACCCGCCGATGGGAGAATTCGATGAACAACGGGACAACAAGTGACACAGGTTAATCCCTGCAATTTGTCCACTCTGCGATTGTTTCCGGCTTTGGAGGATTCGTGCGTGATTCCTTGGTAAGCCATGGAATTGTTGTCCTATTGATATTGGGGGTTTGCTTCCAAGAGCATGAGATGCCGGCGCCTATTTGGTTGAGTCTCACTAAGGTAGAGGTGGAATAGATAAATTGACTAGGATTTGTTGAAATAGGTTGGGTTATTTTTGTTTAGGGGTTGTGTTGTTTTTGTGGGTTGTGTGTGAGTTCAATTAGTCATTGGTCCTCTAATCGTGTGTGCTCTAGCCATCGCGGCAGGACCATTGAGGAAAAATCAAGTAGTCCGTAAACCCTTAACAACAAGCACTCTGATCGTAAAACTTACAGCAGGATCAACCGGGGCCTTTTACCGTGTACGGTTGGATTCTTCCTCGTTGTTGGAGCGGTACTACTCAACGCTGTCGTGATGGGGGCTCCTTATTCACGGGAATGAGGCCCATCCATATTGCTGTTTTCGGCATATTGAAGGCACACGAGTAGCTTGCCAGGCTCTGTCGTGCGGGCTAGGATAGACCTCCAGGTAGTTAGCCACGCTATCCTGGAGCGGAACAAGGGGCTTATTTTTTGGAGGCGGCCCCGAATCGCCTCCCATGTACTTCCCAGTCACTTGAATGCAAGCTTTTGGCTGTGCCGACATGCAGGATACCAACCGCACACACACAGAGCGCACCACACACGCATGCATGGATACGCCTGAGTGGAGACAGCTGGTATGAATCAACACAGCACTACAGAAACAGGGAGTCCATCCCCTGAATCCACCTGCGTCTCAGGGCAAGTACATGGTGGCTTTTGGTCCGCGATTTACCCCCTATCCGCCACCTGGGGTCGCGCCACGTAGCCTCGCCACCAACCGGCTCGAGATCTTTCAGTGAGAGAGGACCCTCAGTGAAAGAGACTTTGATACTAGGGATAAGAAAATATGTGAACGACTCATTTAATGTGCACTTTTGATGGAAAGTTTGATTTCTTTCGTTCCACACATCCTGCCCACGTCCTATCCAATTTTCTGCACCAGATCATCCACCCTGGAGCTCCTTTATCCTTGGGCGGCAAAGATCCCCACACCCCTGGTCCAGGATCGTTTCCTCAGACCACTGCAAGCATGGGGTTGCTCCACGCTACACCGTTACTTATCAGAAGTATACTCCAAATGAGTCGATTACGTATCATTAGCGCTCTCGTTCTTATCTTAAGTATCGGGGAACTCAAAGAAGTGGCCCTGCAAACTGGAATTTCACCACTGAACCTAGGGGAGGGAAAGGATTCTGGGGAGTATGTTAGCAATTTGAGTTCTCCCTGGTGCTTCTCCCCTCTTCTGGGCCTGGTCTTTGTCTCACCCACCTAAGTCCTGTTTAGAATGTCCCCCTATAGACATGCACAAATGAATACTGGTGAAATCCTGTGCATCATATACAGGGAGGGAAGGAGGGGGGCAAAAACACTTTCTTCCACATTTGGAACGGAATTAATTACAAATTGATGAGCCAAACAAAGTAGCCCAACCAGGGTCAACCGTCACGTTCGAACATTTTCGGGATTTTTGCGACCCCCTAGCTCTCGAGGGGGTCCAGTTGCGACCCCCTGTTTTTGTTAATAAGAGTGCTAGACATGAATCCGTTGCGCCAGAAAGCGTCTGCGCGTCGTCGCGTCGGCCTTGGAGCGCGGCAGGTATCACCCGGGCGCTGGAAGAACGGGACGCGGCGAAGAAAAATTTTAGAGGGGAATAACTTTCTTGGGACGTATTTTTTTTGACTTGTTGAGGTAGATGTTGATTGTGCCTGAGGTGCGCTTTCAGAAAACTACAAGGATTGCCTAACTCTTCGGAAAGTACTACTTCTGGTAGAAGTGGAAAACCCAAAATTCTAAGAAGGTGCACCTTC